GAGGGTCCCACCACTCCAGAAAGGCAGGAATCTGCCAGGGAAGGACACCCAGGAAGGTCCCACCGCTCCAGAAAGGGCAGGAATCTGCCAGGGAAGGACACCCAGGAGGGTCCCACTACTCCAGAAAAGGCAGGAATCTGCCAGGGAATGGTTAAAACACCTGCAGAAATCTCCAAGACCTCTTTACATCCCACGGGAAACATCCAGAGCAGCCAAATCCCTCAGGGAAAAGCGGGATGTGGGATTATTTGAGAGCACCCTGGGATAGGAGGGGAAGGAGCTGCTCCATCTGCACATTCCCGGGATTGATACTTGGGAAAAGAAGGAGCAGAACGTTGTTTTTCCAGCCTGAACTTCGGGATTAAATGATTACCCCGGGAAAGTTCCTTTGGGGGAATTTTTAAAGCCAAGTGTTGCACCTCTGAATTCCAAGGAATGGGAGGGGGCAGCTGGAAAGCACAGCTGGGAGTTCAGAGGGTATTTGGGATACACTGGAAATTAATGTAATCCAGGTGTTCCATCCCTTCCATCCCACACATTCCCACCCTCCCCAACACCCCCTCCAGGGGCACACGGACGGTTTTTTGGGATCAATCCCGGTTTTCAGCCTTCCCCCCCGGGATGTGGAGCCCGGACTTACGCTGGTGACTTTCCTCTTGATGTTCTCCAGGAGGAGCTCCTGGCCCCGGATGAAATAGGGATGCTGGAATTCCGTGTCGTCCTTCTCCGGCTTCACCAGCCCCCCCTGCTCGATGTGGACGACCTTGCGGAAGCCGTCTGGGAAAAGAGGGAATGGGGGGAATTCAGGGAGCAGAGCCCGACCCTGGAGCATCCCCGGTGCTCCAGCAGGGCTCTGGAACAACCCTCATCCTGAAAATGCTGCTTGGAACGAGAGACCCACCCAAAAACTTCCAGGGAAAAGGGGCTGATGTTGGTTCTTGCACGGCCTGAGGAGCCCCTGAGCGAGGGCCCTGCAGCCAATCATGGAATCAGGGAATTCCAGGATGGAAGGGACCTTCAGGATCATCCAGTTCTAATCCTTGTCGTGGGCAGGGACACCTCCCACCATCCCAGGGTGATCCAACCTGGCCTGGGACACTCCCAGGGATGAGGCAGCCACAGCTTCTCTGGGAATTCCATCCCAGACCCTCCCCACCCTCCCAGCCAGGAATCCCTTCCCAATATCCCACCTAACCCCAGGAAGCCATTCCCTGTGTGCTGTCCCTCCAGCCCTTGGCCCCAGTCCCTCTCCAGCTCTCCTGGAGCCCCTTCAGGCCCTGGAATGTGCTCCAAGGTCTCCCTGGATCCTTCCCTTCTCCAGGTGAACATTCCCAGCTCTCCCAGCCTGGCTCCAGGGCAGAGGTTCTCCAGCCCTGGGATCATCTCCGTGTCCCCTCTGGACTCTCTCCAGCAGCTCCCCATCCTTCAGGAATGTTGGGAACCCCCAGAGCTGCAGGGGGGTCTCACCCAAGAAGGCAGAGGAGCAGAATTCCCCCTTTCCCTGCTGCCCACCCCGTGGGATGAGCCCAGGATGGAGCTGATCCTGGTCTCCAGTGAACCCTCCTGATCCCAGCACGGATCCCGGCTGGAAAAGCAGCTCCCCGTGCCCCCCCTGTTGCACTCACACATGTTGAGCTGCCGCACGAAACTGGCCATGTTGTTGTGTTTGAAGTACTTGGGCAGCACCTCCTTGGCGAACTGGCCCTGGTCAAACACGTGGAAGCTGCTCCCGCTCTGCTCCGGGAAAAAAAAACAGGGAAAAGGGACCGTCAGCGACCCGCCTGCTCCGGCTTTTCCAGAGGGAAATCCCACCAAGTGGGGGAGATCCCCCCACCAGGGACTGCAAGGGGTTCAAGGTCCCTTCCAACCCCGGATCCTGGAGTCTCCTGTTCCAGGCAGGAAAGTGGTTTCTTGGGTTTTTTGGGAATTGTTCCCAACGGAGCGTGGATGGGGTTCAACCTTCCCACTCCTCAGCTCCTCATGGAGCTGGTTCTTCCCAGGTTTCTCATCTCAGCCAAGCCAGGTGAGCCGGTGCTTCCCAGGTTTCTCATCTCAGCCAAACCAGGAACCTGCCCTGGGGGCAACAGGGGTTAAATCCCAGCTCCTTGCACCTATCCCAGAGGAATTCTGTGCGAAAAGGGACCGTCAGTAACCCGCTTGCTCCAGCTTTTCCAGAGGGAAATCCCACCAAGTGGGGGAGATCCCCCCACCAGGGACTGCAAGGGGTTCAAGGTCCCTTCCAACCCCGGATCCTGGAGTCTCCTGTTCCAGGGAGGAAAGTGGTTTCTTGGGTTTTTTGGGAATTGTTCCCATCAGAGCGTGGATGGGGTTCAACCTCCCCCCTCCTCAGCTCCTCATGGAGCCGGTTCTTCCCAGGTTTCTCATCTCAGCTAAGCCAGGGGAGCTGGTGCTTCCCAGGTTTCTCATCTCAGCCAAGCCAGGAACCTGCCCTGGGGGCAACAGGGGCTAAATCCCAGCTCCTTGCACCTATCCCAGAGGAATTCTGTGCAAAAAGGGACCGTCAGCGCCCCGCCCGCTCCGGCTTTTCCAGAGGGAAATCCCACCAGTGGGGGAGATCCCCCCACCAGGGACTGCAAGGGGTTCAAGGCCCCTTCCAACCCCAGATCCTGGAGTCTCCTGTTCCAGGCAGGAAAGTGGTTTCTTGGGTTTTTGGGAGTTGTTCCCGTCGGAGCGTGGATGGGGTTCAACCTCCCCCCCCCTCAGCTCCTCATGGAGCCGGTGCTTCCCAGGTTTCTCATCTCAGCCAAGCCAGGAACCTGCCCTGGGGGCAACAGGGGCTAAATCCCAGCTCCTTGCAGCTATCCCAGAGGAATTCTGTGGGAATTCTGTGGGAATTCTGTGGGAACTCCTGGTCCTGGAGCTCCTGGTGTGGAAGAACCGGCCGAGCTCAACTCCGGGAGGCTCCAAACTCCGGCCCGGGAGGTCAAACAGGCAGCAGGGATTAAACCTTAATCTGATAATTCCCTCATTAACTCATCCCAATTAACTCGCTCGGGATAATCCTGGAGTTTGGGAGGGATGTCCAGCGACTGCCAACAACCTTCCCAGGAAATGGAGACGACCAGGTGGGTCTGACTCCAAACACAAGGACAATTCCCTGCCCTGCCAGAGCTCTCCACGGCCCAGAGCACCTGGAAGCAGCACCAAGGGGGTTTAATTTTCCACTGGGATGCACAAACTTCTCCTCCCTGCAGATTTAAAAAGCTGGGATGGGTTGGAGGCAGCAGGGAGAGCTCCTGCCCCTCGGAATCCCGAGCTATTCCCGGGGCCGGGTGTTGGAAACGGATCCTCACCACCACCAAGGGTGGCTGTGACTGTCCTGAGAGCAGCTGGGAGCACATTCCAGCCTATCCATGGATTCCATCTGCGGGAATCGCACCGGCAGGGCAGCAGGGGAAGGAATTTTCCTTCTGGCAAAGCAACACAAGAGCTCCAAAAGTGTTTTACAACCTGGAGCCGCTTCCATCTCCCACTCCTGCTCCCTCCTCCTGCTCCTGCTCCCTCCTCCTGCTCCTGCTCCCTCCTCCTGCTCCTGCTCCCTCCTCCTGCTCCTGTTCCCGCTTGGATCATCCCCCCCTGCCCTGGCAGAGGCCAGAGGAGCCCACCAGATGCCAAGGAGTCCCTGCAGGGCCACCAGGAATCCAGGAATTGGGCTCTGGTTTCAAAGGGAAGGCGCGGGGCCAGGCCGGACCACCCACGGCACACGTTGGGAAGGGGCTTCCAGGACACTTTTCTTGGGATCCAGAGCATCCCTGGCCGCTTTGCCAACGGCTCTGGGCTCCCTTAATCTCCAGCCAGGTCTCCCAACCTGCTCCTGCCCAGGCCCTCTGGATCTGGCTGTGCCCCAGGAGCCTCTCCGAGCCGGGAATGCGTGGGAATGGATTGTCCTCTGGTTTTTGAGGAGCAGCTGAGGGAGCTGGGGGGGCTCAGCCTGGAGAAAAGGGGGCTCAGCCTGGAGAAAAGGGGGATCAGGAGGGAATCCAGGGGGACAGGAGGGTGGATCCAGGTGGGATCGGGCTCTGCTCCCAGGGAACAAGGGACAGGACGAGGGGAAACGGCCCCGAGTTGGGCCAGGGGAGATTTATTTGGGATACTGGAGAAATTCCTGCTGGGAAGGGCTCCATCCCCGGGGTGGATTGAAAGATCCCAGATCCCTGCTGGAATTAGCAGGTGGCACCACCCCGGGTGTCACTGGTGTCACCCCAGGGACCCTCTCCCAGCATTCCCAAGGGAAGCAGGAATGTGGGCAGGTCCCTTCCCCGGGAGCAGATGAAAAGTAGCTTCTTCTGCCTTTTTTTGGGACACTTTCCCCCCTGTTGTGTTCCCAGACACATTCCAAGCCCCGGGCC